AGTGCATCTGATACCTCACATCCTTGTATAAGCACAGATGAGTAAACTGGGCCCCTCCCACTCTCCACGGCTCAAGCCTGTCAGAAGTGACCCTGCAGCAAGACCATGCAGCTGTACACTGGCTGGTCTATTCAGAGAAGGAACCCTTCAAGGAAGATTCATGGCCGTACAAATGGGTGGGCTACGCAGGTGCTCTGCTGCTGAGCTGTACCCCAGCCCTGGGTGTGTGTCTTTGCATGGAAAGGCTCTTAGAGGAAGGCAGACTGGGGCAGAGGTACAAAAAACAGGGCTGTGGCCAAGTCGAGAACCAGGGAGAGGGGAGGGCGGTGAGGAGATGAGTCCCAGGAGAATGCTAAAAGGTCTTGAAGAATGGCGTAAGGTGGAGGGTGCAGTATTGCATGGAACTAAGCTCAGTATTGCTTATGAGTCATGGATGAACATTCTTGAGTCATTGCAGTTGTGCATGAAGGGAAAGCCTCTGAGCACGTCTTTTCACCTACACAATGAACATGTCATGAAGTTGCTACCTGACTGAATTGTGAGGGGACTTTGGAGACAGGGTCTCAAGTATCCCAGGCTGGTCTCAAACTTGATTATGTAGCTCAGGAAGACCTTGAACACCTGATTCTCTCATGCCTCTACCTCCCAAGTGCAGGGATTACAAGAGTACATCACCATGCATCTAGCAGAGCTAGCACACAGGGAATGCCCAGGAAATGCTAATGTCACTATTTTCACTAACCAGAAGCAGGCAGGATAGGTGTCAGCACTCTAGGGGGACAGTGCAGCAGCTAGGAAGGGCATGGCCACTGGTGGATCCCATCTTGACTTCTTCATTGCTTGTACAAATTAACCTCCCTTTCTTAAATTTTTAAAATTACATTTATTTAGTGTGTGTCACAGTGCATATATGGAAGAATGTAATGCCAGGTTCACAGGACTCTCAGAGACCACCAGGAAGCGACTCGATGCAAGAGAGATTTAGTATGAAGTGATTGAACTTGGGACCCAAGTCTCTCTGACGCAGCAGTAAAGAAGTGGGACCCCGAGCTCTGAGTGAACAGGATTTTTAAAGGGAAAGTCTGTGAGCAGGGGGTTTCCATGGCAGCAAGTAGGGGGGCACAAGCCTTGGCGTTACAGAATTGGGTGAAGTTTAGCAGGGCAGGGTGACCTTTTCTGAGGCACACAATCACAATGGTTAAGGCATATAATCACAATGGCTATTTTTCTAAACCACATCTGAAACATTGGGGAGAATTTTCCCACCCGATTTCCAACCGATTCCCATTGATTGTCTCTATTTTCTATGAAGATTGTCTCTATTTTCTGTGAAGCATTTATTCTGTGATATTTCCTGGAAGCTGTTGCTAGGAGAGTTAACTTTGTTTTCTGCCAGGTGTACATTCTGTGATATTTCCTGGTACCTGAATTCAGTTCCCAGTCAAGATCTTTATTTCAAAATGGAATTATATTCAGTCTAACTTAAACTCTTCAAGAACTTGTGGGAATCACTTTTCTGCTTCCACTGTATGGATCAGATCGTGACTGAACTCAGGTCTCCATGCTTGGCAGCAAGCAGCTTTATATCTTGCTGTCATCTTTCTTGTTTACAAACCAGGCACAGTATCAATACCTCTCCTTGGAGCTGCTGTGTGTTTGATAATGATGCAAGTGCCCAGAAAATACTGTTAGGCCCAGCATGAGCCTAATTTCGAGAAGGGATGAAGAGAACTCAGGAGACGGGTCTCAATGCAAAATCGCAAGAGGTTTATTTTGACCATTGCGCAATGGGTCACCCCTGCTGATCAGCAAGGAGTGGCACTGGGGGAGACAAACGCCTTGGGTTTTTAAAGGACAAAGCGCAGGAATTTTGAGGTCTTGGCAAATCAGGATTCAATGAGGAAGCTATAAAGTAAGATAATTGGTTAGTCTTAGGTGCTCAAGCTTGGCCAGTCCTGCCAAGTGTGGATGCAGTTGCAATTAAAGGTGGGGGTGGTTAGCTCATCCTTGAAGATTGGGGCTGCGGGCTTTTGGCTGGAGGTCAGGGTCTACTCAGAAGAAAGATTGAGGCCATCTGGGTTGGTTGCTAAGAAACACTATCTCGAAGACAAGGGTCTGGTCGCTCTTTTTGCTGAGTGAAGGTCATTGCTTGCTCACTTTTTTATATCTGCCCTCACAGATAGGGTCACATTCCTCCATTCTCTGGAAAGGTACTGAGAGGCTTTAGCTTAACCTGGACCTAAAACTCAAAACTATAGACTTTAGAAGACATACAGGTTACGTATAGGTTAGTCTAACCCTTTCAATACTAGTTATCAAGTGTCAAGATATGCAAGTCGTGGGAGGAGTCATGGGCCTGGTAACTGGGCATGGAGTCCAGACCCAGGATGAATAGATGTCAGTGAGCTGCTGGCAGAAGTTACTGAAATTCTATAAGAAAATGAATCAGGAGCAGAATGTAGAAGATGGCCCATAAAAACCAGACAAATAAAAATACAACTGGCTGCTTCAAAACTGTCACACACACCACAAACATCCATATGTATGGATATTAATTTTATTAGCCCTTCAAATTTTCCTAGATTGTTCAAATAAAAAAAAAAAGGAGGACAAAAGTTGTCTCAGTATAAACAGTTTGGGATCATGGTTCACACCTTTAGTCTCAGCTATCATAGCTAAGGCAGTTGGATCTCTGGGTTTGAGGTCTGCACAGTGAGTTCCAGGACAGCCAGGGCTGCATAGAAAGACCTTATATCACCAATAACAATGTAAAGAATCACCATTTACTATTCAGATGGCCAAACTTTGAGAAGCAATTTGGAGCTAAGATAAAAAAATTTGAGCAGGGCAGTAGAAGCCCATGCCTGTAATCTAGTAGAGACAGGCAGATCCCTACCACTTAACTGCTTTCTGAATTCTAGGGTTCCAACAAACAGGGGGGGTTCACACCTTTAATCCCAGCACTTGGAGGCATACATCTTTAGTCCTAATACTCAGAAGACAGAAGCATGTAGATCTCCGAGTTTAAGGGCAGCCTGATACAGATCCAGTTCCAAGCAAAGAAAAAGTTAGATCCGGGTGTGGTGGTTCACACCTTTAATCCCAGGACTTGGAGGCATATGCCTTTGATCTTGTGAGACAGCAGCAGGCACAAAGGAATTACAATGTTTTAATTTTAAAAGCTGCTTACAAAAGGCAGGCTAAAATTTAATGTGAATATCCTTTTTATAATCTATATATAGACATATATATAAAGGTATATTTAATTTCAAATTTTCAAAAGAACTTTTAAAATTTTAATTGAGTGATAATACTTTTTCTATTACCAAAAAGCATTTTGTCCTAGGAAAGATATAACCCAACAAAAAAGAAACCCTCCAGAGTAGGGTTGGGGCAGGGTTGTTTTTTGTTTTTTTTTTGTTTTTTTTTTTAATCTTTCCAGGAGAATAAAAGCATCTAAGGAATTTGGAGACCACTGGACAAATGAAACATCTTCATAAAAAGGATGGATTATCAAGAGAAAATGTGACAAGTAAAAGAGTAATTGGCTAAGTGCTATCACCCATCTCCATCTTGTCTCTTCTGCCCTCTACAGACATAAGCGGCAAATGGTCTTTATGTAGTCCCAAGTCAATTAAAAATTAAAGCTGGCTTTGGGGTTGCAGTGTGGCTCTTCTCTCTTCTCTAAACCCATGCATGCTTGTTTAAGGAAAATTCAAAATCTGTCTCATATCAGAAGAGCTACCTGGTATGACACAGCAAAACAAAAAATAAGGGATTGTTCATCTGCCACTGATCTCATAATTTTTTGGTTTTCATTTGACTCTCTAATTTTTTAAGGAATATTATCTCAAAACCTATGATTATTATGTATCTATAAACTTTCTGTCATGGTATTAGTAGTTATTAACTCCTTTTAGAAGTAAGCTTCATATACATGTTTCCAGGTTCGAGTCTGAAGCAAGTAACTATGAACAGTTTGTATACCTCATATGTACTCAGTAGATCATGGTCCTCAATCCTTTCTGAGAGCTGCTGAACATGGTATTTAAAAGTTTATGTTTTCTACCACTTCTAACAGTAATCTTTTAGGTTAACAAGAAGATGAAGGGGCCACCAAAGACGAATCCACCACCTGGACTGTGTAACAACCATCACTGGAGAAAAACTGCTCCACGTTTCCTCTGCTGCCTAGTTCTGCACAAGACAATGGACACCTTTGAGTTGATTGTTACGTTCTGCCTAGTTGGAATTTCCACTGAGCTGACAATCACCACCTAAAGATCGGTTTTGGACTACAGACTACTTAGGACATTCAAAATGCTGAGTTCATATGACCTTTCACAGAATGTTGAACTTAAAAATAGTTGATCTTTAAGATTGCCAAATACAACCAAGCTGGACATTGTGGAAAGCTTAGCAAAAATTGCTTAATATTTGTAAATAGTTTTACTGTATCATTTCTTTTTATTAAGACAAAAAGGGGGATATAGAAATAATATAGGAACAATAGGAAAAAGGGATAGATTATTGAATCTACTCTTATAGCTCTTTGTGTATTGATACAAAGTTAATATTAATTGGTTACATTGGTACAGACCATTTGCATATTGATACAAAATTAAAGTTATAGTTTGGTTATGGCATTGTACCTATGTAATTCTTAATAATGCAATGTGAAGTTCTAGTCCTTTTGAAAGCTACTCATAGAAACTGTTTAAGATAATTAAGAAATGCACACTAATAGTGAATCAAATTTGTGGTTGTGTTGGGTACTATTTTAGCTAAACACAGATGTTTCCTAAGTCAATATATAGCTTTCAACAAGTAACCAAGATATAGAGATAGATTGTCTTCAAAAAACGTCAGGATCTATAGGTTATGGCATTGAAAGATTGATAATTTTTTCACAAAGAGAAATATCAGCTCCTGGAAGCACCCCTTTTCGACTTCAAAGAAGAGGATGAGCATCAAAAAAAAAAAATTCTTGAGGAGATGGCTTCCTATGTGGCAAGAGAGCCTTTGGGCAAGGAATGCCCTTGCTTCTACTGCAGACAGAATGCTGAACAAACTGGATGCAGGAAAGTTGACTGCCAAGCTTTGCAAGGACAAGGTAGGCAAGTCCTTCATTTTAGCTGCTTCACAGCAAAGTCTGTTGGATATTGAGCCAGAAAGCTGAAGATGATGCTCCAACTGACCAGGCAGCCAGCATTTCCATAGTTTTGGAAGCTGCTTGCTCTGTTCTTCCTGTTTATTCAGATAATATTCATCCTTCTCGGGTCTTTGATAGGGCTGAAGACTAAATAGTTATAATCTTACAATTACAATAAAGTTCTTTAGGATTTAAGATGTTTTAGGTAAGTTTTGATACAAAGTGATTTAGGTACAGAACTTTGGACTCACCAAAATAGAATACTTCCTCAAGGTTACCAATTACATATCGACTAGACATTGTGAATGTAATTTTTACCTGATAGTAGTTTATTGATGTCAGAAAAAAAAAGTCTTTTACTTAAAAAGGGGGGGAATGTTGCAGGATATTTGATCCCATTGTAAATCACAAAATTGTGAACTGAAAACCCTGTTTCTTTGGTATGGTTGAGCCTGTCACACCCCTTTAATCCAAGAACTTTATTTTAAACTGGCGATAATGGAGTAGTTTAGTCCTAGCGCACACCTTTAATCTAAAAGCTTTCAGTACACTGGATTTAATAAAGTTAACTACTAGGTCAAGAGGCAGAGTAAACCAGCTGATAGGGATTAAAGAGTAAAAGGGACTTTGAATTGAGGGGTTCTTGAGACAGCTTGGAGAAGTAAGGGCTTTCTTTTCAGTTCAGTCTCTGGCTTTAGGCTTCAGCATCTCAGCTCTGTAGCTTTTTGGGCTTTGAGCTAGTGAGCCTTTTGAGTTTTTTTTTCCATCCAGACTTGAGCTGAGAAGGAAGGTCAGCTGGGTGCTTTCTCTGCCTCTCTGAGCTAGCACAGCATCTGGCTCCTGAGTCTTTATTGGTAAAATAGAACTGTTGGGATTTTCCTTGTTTTAAAGAACAGATTATAATTTATCCTTCTCAGGTCTCTGATCACATTGACAGCTAAGCTAACGATGGTAGCTTCTCAGCTAGAGATCAGACAATTATAGCTTCTAAACCCGAAGTTTGAGATTTAAAACTTTCTTTGGTTTGTCTTTTAAGTATAAACTTAAAAGTGTTTCTCATTGTGCTTAATTTTCGTGTATCCTGTCTTCTGGACAGAGGGAAGTCATCCCTCTTTCATGATGTGTCATCATACTGAAAAGCAAGATTAAATGAGCTTCTGCTCTACGGGAGGTCTCTTCCTCCCAGAGCTTGCCTTAGGACACCTGTGTTGTGGACAGGTGTCACAGGATGGCACGGTTTCTGCTTTCCCTGAGCTCACCTTAAAGCGTTCATGCTTTTAATCCAAAATTGTTTCCCAAGTCTCTGCTATGCTATGACATAGAGATGTGCGCCTACTGCCTTTTTCTACAATGCGTATTTCATTGCTGATTGCAAACAATTGTGGTGCTAACATGTAAAACTTCTCTCCTTTGTAAACTTCAAAAGATTCTTGTAGGCTACAGGAAGTCCACATCTCAGGTCAAACGGACGCCATGTAAGTACTGTCAAACAACAGCCTACGTTTCCCACCTTTTTCCTAGTTCATTCAGAGGGTGGGACACCCTCCTCCAACCATCAAGACCATGGCTAAACGTTTCAAATGTACACCTAAGAAAAAGATTCTCTCCCTAACCTACTTTGTCTTCTGCCCATGTTTCTTCCAGTATCCTGCCAAGTCCAGGTGTTTCCTCCAGTATCCAGGACAGCTCGGAAGCAGCTCTCCACAGGTGCTCCTGTCCAGCCTCGAAGACTGCTTAGCCAGGCCTGCACTTTTCTAGACACAGAGATCCCACAGATCCCGGACAGCAGTGAAACAGCCAGCTCTCTCAGGACTTAGCATCCCAATTTTTTAGGGCCCCCAGAGAAGCCGTTGCAGGAAGCAGTCAAAAGAACCCAAATGTTTTTATTCCTACCCTTGGTTTTTTAAACAAAAAGGGAGGAGTGTTAGCGTAGCGGTGATTCCACTAACCTGCCCCAGGGACATAGCCTGCTGCCGCCAGGTGTGTGCCAGATAAAAGGGTCCACCTGCTATCCTGCTCTCTTGATCTCTCTGTTCTCCCTGTTTCCTTGCTCTCTGTCTTGGGCTGTCTTGTCCCCACTCTCTCTCCCTCCCTGCCCTCTCTCATGGCTCACTCACTCTACTCCTTCCCCAGACTCCCTCCCCCGTTCCCACAATGAGCCTCCTTTATTACCGGATCTGTTGGCCTGTGATTCCTCAGTGGCTATGTACACCTTGTAGCAAGCCAACCACGGTGCCCCTACCGCCTGATTATACAACAGTACTGTCAATGGGTCCTCCAGGGAAAGATGATTTTAATAAAAAGATGCTCATGGCCTTGGGAGGAGCGAAACAGGAGTTTCTCTGGGACTGGCCCAATTGGGGGAGGGGTCCATAGATGCTGAAGGTAAGGAGCTAGGAGTCAATCAAACTCAAGGTCATTTTTTGGAACTTGGTGCTGGGACACGATCATTCATTAGGAAAGGAACAGACCATTTCTGAATAAAGAATCTTATCTTCATTTCCATACCCCTTCCCCTGCAAGGCTTGGGGTGTTCTAAGGCTTGGGGTGTTCTGAGTCTTTGGTGTTTAGAGAACCTTCTGGCTTTAAAAAGCCTTCGGTCTTAAGGCATTACATGGAGGTTGCTGGAACGGACTCCTCTTACTGGAAGGTGCATCTTCATGCACCCAAACCAGACTACCGGAAGAAGTCATTGGGGTTGCTCCTGGCCCTCAGCAGACTATGATTAGGTTTACACATGGAGCTGCGGCGCTACAGCAGGACTTTGGTGCTCTCGTTGTCATGGACATCCCTGTCAGGGTCCTCCTTGAGGAGTGGAGGCCTAGGAGAAGGGGGTTCTAGGACCCCTGCATCGAGGCTCTGCTCCCGCATCCACGCACTCAGTGCTTGGCGCTCGGCCTGAAGCTGGCGGCGCGCCTGCGCCATGGCGCGCTCCTCCTGCCGCAGAGCCCGGCGCCTGCGCTCCAGCGCGCGCTCGGCCTGCCTTAGGATGGCCTCGCGCCGCTCCAGCTCCAGCTCGCGCCGGCTGCCCCGTGCGGCCAGCGCGCCCATCTGCTCCAGCAGGCGTGCCCAGTCACCCTCGGCAGCCGTGGCGGGTCCGGGCGGCGGGCAGGGCACAGCCGGCGGCGAGCTGCGGGCGGCGCTCTTCTCCAGCTCCCGCAGGTGCGCGCCGCTCAGGTGCCGCCACAGCGCCCCCGTCCACGCCTGGAAGCCGGGGTGGCCGCCCACTTGCTCCCCGCACAGCCGGCAGGTGGCCCAGGTGCCGGTCGACGGGTGTCCGGGCCGACCTGGGGCCAGATGGAAGTATCCCCAGGCCTCGGAGTACGGCGCCCCCAGGTGGCCGGGAGCGGCGGGCGCCAGCGCGGGACAGGGGCCACCCTGCCCTGCAGTGTCATCTGGCCTCCAGCTGTCTTCCATGGTCTCCAAGGGCTCTTCACTCCTCATTCCTTCTGCAGTGTCTGCATCCAGGGGAGGTGGGGAGATAAAGAACAAAGTAATCATTATTATATACACACAGATCCTCTAAACGTAAGCCGAGGACAAACCTTGTGGGTATGTTTTTCCCCCTCTCCTTAATACTCAGCATTAGTTAATGGCTACAAAACAAAACCAAAAACAACCTGTTAGGAACATCTAGCCCTTCTTGTGGTAAGCATTCTCTTCTGAAGAACTAATATCTCTGTAGAAACTGAGCTAAGGGCTGGAGAGGCAACTTGCCCAGCATGCACAGTGCCTGGGTTTGATCCCAAACACCACAAATTGGGTGTGGTAATTAGAGCAATGGACTTGTAAGAAAAGTGACCATACTTTGAAAATGTGCACATTTTAGGAACTAGCAGGTTGTAACGCAGAGCCTTGCACTTTTGTCTTTAAGTTAAATGGTAGGCCAGGTCTCAATGATCTTGAGGTCCTGGTTATTGCCTGGAGGTTCCCAACCAACCAGGTTCCAAAGTAGAAACACATGTATGTACAGGACAATTCAGGATGATCTTGGAGTTTGTAGGACACACAGACCCACAAGAAATCAAGTGGAGCAGCCTAAGTTAGCAGGAAAATGACTAGTGAACGCTTGTCTAGGGTTTTTCCCCCCGAGAATTTTATAGGTACCCAAGACAAATAGTCTGCTTCATTGTTCATCCTAATTACACGGCCCCTCTCAATATTTAGAAGGTAGAAAGCTTGTCTGGCACTTCCAGACAAGAGACGGGAGGAAAACCGATGGTTAATGCTTTGTCTGCTGAAGTAGCTACACTAGAGGCACCCAGTCACAGTGTCATTACTGTAACGACTGAGTCTTGGGCATGTCTGTGTGCACGGGTGTGAAGATCAGAGGACACACTTGTGGGATCACTGTTCTTCCATTTTTCCATGGGTTCTGGGGATTGAACTTGGGCTGTCAGACTGCACAGCAAGGGCATTCCACAGGCCCAGTGACTGGGTATTTTCCGGGAGGAAAACAACTCACCCAACACAATAACCCTGACTTCCCCCAAGCCCTCCCAAAAGAAGCTGTAAAAAGGTGGCATTTGTTCTTTAGCGAACAAGTCGGAAATAGACCAAATGTAAATGTATGGATCTAGACAAACGTTCTCTGAAAGTTAAAAACAAAACAACAACAACAAAAGTCACTTAGATTCCTTGAGCTCTGATGACTTATCTCAGGTAACATCACGGCCAAGGGAGAACCAGGCTCAGTGCGGCAGCCAGTGACTGCTCAAACTGTCAGGTCTGGAGGGAGCAGCAGAAGAGACTACCATTACAGAGTTTATTAATAGAACTGAAGACCAGGGAAATACAACATCTGTATATGTACAAGGTACGTGTGTGCGTGCGTGCGTGCGTGCGTCTGTGTGTGTGTGTGTTATATGGAGAAAGATTTGGGTTCCCAATTTTATAAAACATAATGGCCATAAAAGGCTAGAAATGTCCTGACATAATAAAAATAGCAGATGCTTTCAGTACCCAATCCCATCTCCAGACAGGACATCTAAACTAAAAGATCAAAGACATTTCAGAGTTGCATCATACTGTAAATTATAGTTATATGAGAATATCCACCCAAAAGATCTTTTCAATGGCCATGGAACCCTCTCTAAAACAGGTCTCTCTATAGTCCTCAAAGAAAGTCTTAGTGAATACAAAGGCATTACCAGATCATAGCACAGGTGATCTAGAAATCAACAGCAAGAGTTGCCTATACATTAAAAAAGCAGACCACACATTTTCTTTTAAATGAACAGCGAGTCTTGAAAAACTGAGGGAGATTTTTAAAAATAAAAGCAGAACTCACTAGCATCTGTGGGGTGCTGCTGAGGTGGAACTTGAAGAGGAAAGTTTATAACTATGCATGCTGACTTAAAAATCCAGACAGGTCACAAATAAACAGGCTACAGATGCAACCCGGGTCTTACAGAAACAACAAATCAAACACCAAAGGAGTAGACAGCAGAAAACTATCCAGCCAGGGACATAAATGAATGAAATGTAAACTAATAATAATAAATAAATAATGAATAATAAATAAAAATTAAAAATTCAGTTCTTTGAAAACAAACAAAAACCAACCTCAAAATGACAACTACATAGCCAATCTAACCAAAATAATGAGAGGATGTGCCAACTTATAAAACTAGGGATAAATAAACTGAAGGATTTACAACAGATCCTAACGAAGTCTAAGAGACTAGCAAGTATTTTGAAGATGTTTTCTCAAGTACTTTAAAATCCAGAAGGAATGGGTAAATTTCCAGCTGCAAATGACCTACCAAAATGAAAGTCTGGAGGATATACACAATTTAAACAGCTTTATGACAGGTAATAGCATTGAGGTCTCCCAACAAAGAAAGGTAGAGTCACTGCTGAATTCTGCCAAATGTTTAAAAGAAGCTAATGCAGGATGCACCTCAAAACTCCTTCATAAGACAGAAAAAGAAGCAATGCTACTAAACTGCAAAGACAGCATTACCCAATGCCAAGGCCAGATAATGACACAAGAAAGAGAACTACAGACCAATCTCCCTGACTGCAGTGGGTTCTGAGGTATGCTCTGCTGATCCCTCATTTCTTCAAGGCTTTGATGGTGAAGGAATACTGAACCTTCTTAAAGGTCTTTCCTGAACCTATTGAGATGATCCTGTTTCTTTTGTCCTTAGGCCTATTTATGTATGCTGTTACACTTACTGATTACATGTTAAATCATTATTACTATATCGGGCAAAACAGCAGTCAATATTATTCAAATAGAGAAAAACAAAGCATTTTCTCTAAAATAAATAACAAGACAGGGTGCCCATTCTCTCTGCTCTTGTTTAATACAGTATTCAAAGTATTATCTAGGGCAGTAAGATAAGAAGAAGAAAGGAAAAAAAAAGATACAAACAGGAAAAGAAGTAGTCAAATTATTTCTAGTTGCAGATGACAAAAATGATCTATCTGTATCACATGAGTATATATGCCTGAACAATTCAAAGCCAGCATAGCAAAAAAATATTTGCACATGTATGCTGATTGCTGAACTATTCATAATAGTCAAGATGTGGAAGCAGGGGCTAAAGAGATGGCTTATCAGCTAATGGCATACATTGCTCTTGCAGAGAACGCAGTTCAGTTCCCAGCACCTATGTCAAGTGACAAATACCTATAGCTCCAGTTCTAGGTTGCTTAAACGCTCCCCCCATATACACATAACTAAAAATAAGTAAAGCATTTTTAAGAAAGATGTGGAATCAGCTTCGGTGTCTGTTAATAGACGAATAGATAAGGGGCACGTAATATACATAAAAAGTGAAATTATGACCCTCAATGAAAATGGATGAAACTGGAGAGCTGTATGTAAAGGGAATAAGCCAGACTCAGAAAGACAAAAGTCACATTTTCCCTCAGATACAGAATGTAGATTGAAGTTATATACAAATGTATGCATCTGTGTGGGACAGGGATGGAGACAGCAGAGAAAGAGTTTAATGGGCTAGGGAAGGGACAAGAAAGGCTGACATCATGTCACAGGAACAGAAGGAAGAACCATTTAGGGGAGAAAGGAGACCAGCTCAAGATGAGTGAGGGGGCAAAAAAAACTAACACAACAAAACCCCCAAACCCCAAGTGGGGAGAGATACATGTATGCATGAAAATGCCACAGTGAACCCCAGGTCTCCTCATGCTGATCAAATGTTACTCTAGAGTAAACAGAACATGACTTTAGTATTAGAAACAGTTTATCTAATTTTTATACCTTACCTGTTGTTAAGAATACCGTTTCCTCCTGCCTTGACTCTATCCTTTCTGGGCTCTTTTTAATTACTAGACATGGGAAGTGATGGTATACTATTATAGTGAATCTGTTTCCTAAGTTTTAAAATGACTACTGCTTCACCGTTGACAGGCCCAGGGGCCTGCAGATCTTTTTCATGGGCCAAGGGCTCAGGGTCCCCATTGCTCATGCACCTCTAACAGTGCCAGAGGTGACCCATTACTGTCAGGCTTTTTACATCCTTGTGAGCCCTGAGCTGGGCTTCCTGTAAGTCCTGGGATGCTGAGAGGGGCACCAGGCACGTGTGCCGTCTGCTGGGGAGTTAAGATGGGTCAAGCAGGAGAGCACGGGTTCTGTACTGTGTTCCTCACCGGAGCCAGGAACAGGCTACACTCCAAATGTGGGCCAGCACAGCAATGCCCCTCCACGGTGCCAAGGAGGGAGGGGCATCCTTCTGGTCAGCCCTTTACTGTCGGAGGTCTTAACCAATGGACAGCAGCACGGAACGGAACTGCCCCACCTTCTCAGTCCTCCAATAGTGGACTGCATTCTGGCTCCATGTGATAGGACTTTATGTCCAGGGTGGAACACCGCTCCAGCCCTGTTGTACGGCCCGAATTAATTTCTGCTTCACCCATGTAGCTGTGGAACTCCTCATCACAACAGCGCATACCAAGAGTTCTTACAAGGAGACTTTTAAAAAGCAAGTAATCCAATAGGAAACTAGGCAGAAACCTGAGCAGGCAAAAGACCTCAGGGCCAATTCAATGTCTGTGGAAAAGCGATTCTGTTCTGGGAACTGCCATGAGGGCAAGAATGAGGTGTCATTTTCCACCCACTACCAGAACCAAGGTGGGCAGGCATAACTCTGAAGTCCAGAAGGAGGCGGAAAGCAGGGCACCCTCACTTTCCTACTAAAGGTCTGATCGCTGTGAGGGAGGCCACCTGGAACTTTCTGCATTCGTTTAAAAACAGCTGAGATTTCTATTCTGTAGAACTAAAGGTTCTTCATGTTTGCTTCATTGTTGTTTAGAGTGGGGACCATAGCTGAGAATATAATGTCTGTTTGCAACAGGGAATATTATGCACTCATTGAAAGGACAAAAAATCTTCCAGATGTTCTAGAGGAAGCTCTTGGGGCAGATGTTGTAAAGTGTATATAAAAATCCCATCATTTCTAGATACTACCAGGTCACTGTAGCGTTGTAAAGACACAGATGTTCTCTAATCACGACGCAGTTGCATCCTAATGAACCATCAGTTGTAGCTAGCCTACCAAGCCCCACAGTGGAGCACCACAGTGCGTTCCAGAGCAGCAGCTGCTTCCTCTTATGACTGCAAGGCTCCTAAGGGCCTCCTAAGCACCTGCACAGCCCTGCCCAGCTGCCTGTGCTGTGTGCTACTGGCCAACAAAGATCAAGTGTCAAAATTCAAAGTATGGATTCTACTGAATGGCTCCCACTTGCATCCAGAACTATACGGAACCATCTCCACAGATTTAGGTTAGAACAAATAAGGAGACACTACAGGCTGAGCTGTAAGGTGACAGGAGAGATAGGGGAAGAGAAAGTATTACACACAAAAGCCAAAGAAAACTCTAAGAAAGCATACGGGGACATGCCTATGGCTTACCACAAAACATGTATGTAGCAAAATCTACATGTAAGGAAAAAGTAACTTTTAATGAACAACCCCTGGGCATCTCAGGTGGGCACAGACCTTACTTGAGGAGGCTTGAGACAGTGCAAAGGGCAATGCCTTGCTAAGACACTTAGGATCCACAAGGACAGGCTGTTGCCATCTGGAGGGAGAAAGCAAGTATACAGGGTCGACCAGTACAGCATGGCTCCCGTGCCTTGCTCAAGCAGCAGATTCTGTGCCCACAGGAAGAGAGGATGAAAGGGACTCAACCTGCTCCTCTCCTTGCCACAGAGCAGCCTCCTGGCTGCACCTGCTTTAGGTGCAGCTCCCTGATGAAGACTAAGTGCTTCTAAAGGGCGGCAGAGATAGGGGCTGTCCAACTCCCCAGCACCATGCAAATTTAATACAGAGGAGCGGCTAGTGCTCAGACGCCCCTACACTGAGATTTTAGTGGTTGAAAAGCAGTGTTGTATTTCCGGTGGACATTCAAAATGGAAGAATCTCTAAAAGAGTCATAATGCCAAAAACAAAGCAGAAAGATCAGAGAGCCACAACTGTTGTTGGTTAGTAATATTTATATTTGATTTATCTTTTAGTTAATCAGTGTTTGTTCCTAAACCAGCTGTAAACCCAAATCACCACACAGAGACTAGGATTTATTTAATTAACCTAGAGCACAATGCTGGGCAATAGTTACTCCATCCTAAACCTCCAAGCCCGCATAGTTTCCTCCCATTCAGAGTTTCTCTATTATACTTGCTTTTACTCATATCTTAGGTCCGGTTTATCTCTCCTCATGGTTCCAAGTCCTGCCCTGCCAATCTTTGCTCTCCTACCTCTCCAACTCACTTCCTTCTCCTCCCCTCTGGACCAGGATGTCCCACTCTAAACTCTCCATTGCACAGCATTCGCTGGTTGTTTTATTGAAAATACAGGGAATAAATGGTGGCATGTTTACACAAACTTGAGACAGCTGATGCTTAGAATAAGCATCACAATGCAATGTCAGGATTGAAACCATATAGTGGGGTAGAGAAATCAGCATTTGAATGAACAAGGGTAAATTGTGTACATTCCACAAGAACATTATACCAACATTTCCCCCTTTAAGTCCAATAAAAGGCTCCTTTTCTTTTAATACAATAATAATTATAAAACAGTTGTGAAAACTATTAGGTAAGATTTACATGTGCAATGTCCAGTCCATATGTATTTGGCAACTTAGGAGAAAGTATCTGAAAGTATCTTGACAAGTTTAGAGTTCTATACCTAAATTAACTTCTATCCTTGTTGGTATTACCTATATAAAAACATTTTCTTAAATTCTAAACAACTTAAGCTTAATTGTGCAAATATATCTATTTGGTCTTCAACCCTACCAGAGACTTGAGAAGGAATAAAATTAGTTACTTGAGTAAATAGGAAGTGCATGTTAGCAGCTTCCAAAAAATAAAAATTGACAGAGACAGTTTGCTGCCTGAACAGTCACCCATAACTCTCTATATTGTTAAAGCACCATCTTTAGCCTTCTGGCTCAGTATATTTGACAGACATATATGTGAAGCAGGAACTATTTAGGACTTGCTTACCCTGTCTTGGCAAAGTTTGGCAGTCAACTTGTCCTGCATTTAAGCTTGCCCATTTTTGGCAGAATTCTGTCTGTTGTGAGGAGGGCATTTTCTTTTTGCCTGGATGGCTCGTTTGCCACATTTGAAACCATCTCCATATGGAGGTTCTTCAATGCTCATCATCATCTTTGAGGTAGGTGGGGTGCTGCCAGGAGATGACCTGTCTCATTGTCAAAGAATCTTTAAAATAATAAAGACATTTTTAAATGCCATATTCTTAGGTCTCTGAAGTTTTGAAGACTTACCTATCTTTATGTAATCGACCTGTCTAAAATAATGTGTCTGTTAAACCTAGGATATATACTCCTGTGATAGATTAGACTAGTGTCTGACATGACTATGAGTTGATGAACTAGCAATTAACTTTCATTACCTAATACCCTAAACAGTTTGTAGTAGCAGTTTAAAAGTATTGGAAGTAACCTTGAATTTGTATCAAAATACTAAAATTTACCAATGTATTAAAAATAGACTTATTTTTGCATCATTATACAAAATCCTACACCGGAGTTAAAAACAACCTTATTTGAGAACAAATAAAGCTTTAAGTTGAGTAGATTCAATAATCTACCTTTTGTCTTGTTATTCCTATAAGATATCCCTGTATTCCCCTTTTTTTCTTTTCAACCCTAATGCAATGTCCGACTGACACCAGATGGTGGGGTAGAGAAATCAGCATTTGAATAAACAAGGATAAACTGTATACATTCCACAAGAACATTATACCAACACACAACCATTGCTCCTCAGATTTATTTTCACTTCCTAAACAAACCTTCACACAGAAATAGGTGGCTCATCAGGCAGGCCCAGGGACCTACAGGAAGGTGGGCTGGCCTAAGCTGGGTGATGCCCACACCTGCCTTATCAAGTGCCAGCTAACAACATAGAGCCACTATTATGTGTGTAGCTAGCAGAAAGAAAATAAAAACGGGAACACCTTTCAATTTTTCCTTAAACACCTTTAAGAACTGGCACAAAGGTGCCTAAAGATGAGATTATTTTGGTTTATGGCTATTTATTCCATCCAACTCTCTTGTCTAAATGTTCACTGTGCACCTCTCAGGGTCCACAAGGACCTCTGCCTTCAGGTAACTCACCATCCGGGGGGCAGGGAGGAAGAAATGTTCCCAATGACAAAGGCAATTCCTTGGTTGAAATCAGATCAGTGTTTGGCTCCAAAGAGAGTTCTACTATGTCAGCGTATAACTAAGGCTCCTAGTTCTCCATCAGTGTGTAACCAAGGCTCCTAGTTCCTGTTTTAAACTTAAGCACATTCAAGCTACATAAAAGTACTGCTAGGATAAAATCAACTCAGCAATGAAAAGTTTTGAGTCCAATTTCCAGGCGAAGGTGCAGGGTGACAAAGTCAGTGTTAAGCTGCCTGGCACGGGGAGAATGCCACCTTGGCACCACACCTCTAAAGCTCCTGTGGCCAAGCTTCATTTGGGGCACACTCTTGAGAAGGAGTGATAAGCCAATATCTGTGGGAGATAACAGACTCCCATTCATCACCCCTGCTTTTGAGTCTATTCTCATAGATGTACTAGTAGCCTATCAGGTTAAACCAGAGTCCTCTGTATGACTCCCCAGTCCCAACACAGAGGCTGAAGGGAGTCATTAAAACCTGGAAATAGGGGCTCAGCAGGTAGAGGCACCTGTCCCTAAGCCTGATGCCCTGAGTTTGAACACTGGGACTCACACAGTATAAGGAGAGACCTCTCAGAGACTATCCTCTGACCTCTACACACACGGGCACCTACACATTATAACCAAGTAAATGTAGAGCTTTTTTAGACTTTTAAATATGGTCTTATACACTATATGTATGACTATATATATGTACACATGTATATGCATGACTATAAAATTTGTCGTGAGACAGGCAGACACTTCCACTATTGGCAAAGAAGCATCATTTTTACTAATTCTTTTGTTGGTTGTGGTTATGTGTGTGTGTGTGCACACGCGCAAGCACACACACGCACTGTTGGAGACTGAACCCAGTGTCTCACACAGGTTAGGCAAGTGCTCTACCACTGAGCTCCAGCCCCTATAAATGGAATTAGAAAGAAAAAAGAAAGGAAGAAAAGAAAGCAAACAAAACTGTAAGGTCTCAGATTCAGGACAAACAGCTGAGGTGCCTATTTCACACATATCAGAGAGGAAAGACTGGCTGCTGGCTGGTCTCTCTGCTTCCCCAACAACACTCCAGCCCTGGGGCTGGGCTTCAGCCATTTGGCTCCTTAGTCTCTAGGCCTCTTGCCCTCTGGGCTTGCTCTTGGCTCTTAGCCCCTCCTCCCTTTTCTTTTCTCTCCCCCCGGTCCCCCGTGGCTCCCTTCAGTTTGAACCCTTCCAGATGCCTCTGGCTTAAATCTACAATAAGCCTCCTTAAGCATACCCGGGGACATCATGTCCTCATTTCTTTTTCATTCATTCTAAAGCCTTCTGATTTGAAACACACCTTTATTTCAGAGCCACCTTGCTTTGTTTAATACATATGGTCACTACAAAGCACCTATGAAAATTTATTATTTTATGCTTATGCTTGCACACATAATAACTGGGTAGGCCAGTGGCCAACAAACCAGGAAATGTTCTCAAAGCAAAATAACAAGTGAGAAACAGTCCTGTTTGTCCTTCTGCAGTCAAGGCTAATCATGTCAGTTGGGTTTGCCAGGCAGAGTAATAAACAGGTATGTGTTGATTGAGCCTGGATCTAACACGAGAAACTGACATTATTATGAAATTCACAGATTATGTGGAAACACTAATCGCACTTTCATTTACTTCACCTAATAGTGGTTTAAACCAAAGCAGAACAGAATAATTGAGTAATTAGCTTTGGCAGTTGAAGTTCCGGGAAACTCCAGTCCACTCACCTGTGATCTGTCCAGCTTGGCTTACCTATTAGTTTCCTGCCATGTATTCATATATGTATAAATAGAGCCAGACAACTAGAAAAATTTGTCTGTAATTATTAGCCTGAAGGCATAAATGAAATTAAAAGCTGGAAACGGGGATGGAGAGATGGCTCAGTGGTTAAGAGCACTTGCTGCTCTTCCAGGGGTCCAGAATTCCATTTCCAGCCTGCAGGTCCAAGTACTCCTGACTTCCTGTACTCCAGCTCTGTGGAATCGGACACTCTCTGTTTCCCACAGGCACCCTCACATACAGGGACATGCAGCACGGGAGGTGAGGGTATACACACAAACAACAAATAAAAAGAAATGTTTTAGGAAATGCAAATCAAAACAATTCTGCGATTCCATCTTACACTGGCCAGGATGGCTATGATCAAAACCTCAAGTGATAGCACATGTTGGCAAGGTTGTGGAGAAAGGGGACTGCTCCTCCATTACTGGTGGGAGTGAGAATTTGTACAACCACTGTGGAAATCAATCTGACACTTTCTCAGAAAACTGGGAATAGCTATAGCTCAAGACACAGCTATACCACTCCTGAGCATATACACAAAAGATGCTCCACCATACCACAAGGACACTTGCTCAACTATGTTCACAGCAGCTTTATTCATAATAACCAGAATCTGGAAACAACCTAGATGTCCCTCATCCGAAGAATGGATAAAGAAAATATAGTACATTTACACAATAGTATACTGTTCAGCTATTAAAAATAGGGGCATCATGCAATTTGCAGGAAAATGTATGGAACTAGAAAATATCATCCTGAGTGAAGTAATTCAAATCCAAAAAAACATGCATGGTATATACTCACTGATAAGCGGCTCTTATTCACAAATTATGGGATAACCATGCCACAAGCCACAGATCTAAAGAAGCTAAGTAACAAGAAGGCTCCAAGGGGCTCTGCTTGAATCTCACTCAGAATGGGAAACAAAATAGGCATTGGTGGTGGATGGAGAGAGGGAACTGAGTGGAAGAGGGGATTGGGAGAGGCACAGGGATAGGGATTAGGAGTAGGGAAAGTGGGGGACAGAGGGTCCCAGGTGAGAGAACAGAAATCGGACGTGGGGGGCCATCTCTGGGATGTGCCAGAAACCTGGGCTAGGGAAGGCCCTATGGGATGACTTAGCTGAGACTCCTAGCAGTGGGGAATCTGGCCTTGAAGTGGCACCTTCTGTAGCCAGGTGGGACATGCAGTGGAGGGACGAGGCCACCAACCCACTCACAAAATCTTCCACCCAAAATTTGTCCTGCCTACAAGATGTGCAGGGACAAAGATGGAGCAAAGATTGAGGGATAGTCAACCAAAGACCTTACTTGAGACCCACTCCATGAGAGAGAGCCAATCCCTGACAATGTTAATGTTACTCTGCTGTGCTTGTAGACAGGAGCCTAGCATAACTCCTCTGAGAGGCTTCACCCAGCAGCTGATGGAAACAGATGCAGAGACCCACAGCCAAACATTAGGCAGAGCTCGAGGAATCCTATGGAAGAGCCGGGGGAATGATTGAGGGAGCTGGAGGGGTCAAGGACTCCACAAGAAGACCTACAGAGTCAACCTACCTGGGCCCATGGGGCTCACAGAGACTGAGCCATCAACCAATGAGCACGCATGGGCTGGTCCTAGCATCCCTGCACATATGAGCAGATACACAGCTTGGTCTCCATGCAGATACCCCAACAACTGGAGTGGGGTCCTCTGACTCTGATGCCTCCCTTTGGGTCCTGCTCCCCTAACTGGCCTGCCTTGTCCGGCCTCAGTGGGAGAGGATGCGCCTAGTCCTGCAGCATGGAGGTCCCATGGGGGCCTCCCCCTTCTATGAGGATGAGAGGGGAGAGTGGGGGAGGGGGGACTGGGAGGAGAAAGGGGGGCTGAGAGCAGGATGTAAAGTGAATAATGAAATGATGTAAAGTGAATAAATTAATGAAAAAAATGCTTACTCAGACAGGCCAAATAACACCAAAAAAAAAAAAATCATCTTAAAAAGTCAGTAAAAATGACTGCAAAGTGTAAATGTGTTATGAATAAAGGGTTGAATGTGAAAACATTAGAAAAAGGTTATACATGGACTGATTTTTTAAAAAGTACTGGACCCATAGCTATTAGTGAAGCAAAGATGAAACCTGAATGCTTTAAGCTGAACTCTCAGCTATTTCTCCCATTAGCTAAAAGGCAAAGCACGCTATCAATGCACTGTAAAATAAAAATTATAAAGCACTATGCCCTAAAGGGGACCTTTATTTCAGCTCAGCGCCGCATTAGTTTAATATATGCATATATGCACGTATATACATCTGTATACACACACACACACACACACACACACACACACACACAGAGATGTATATAGCTTTGTAACTTAAAATATTTTTAAGTTGGGAATTACCTGGTTTGGACTCTTGGTCCTTTTACATAATTTCCTATGCCATTTATTATCACTTTCCTCTAACTATTTTGGAGGCCCGAAGGTGCATTAATAAGCTAGTACAGGAGTCAGCAGGAGGCGGGGCACTCTCTGTGAGATCTAGGCCAGCCTAGTCTACACCGGCAAGTTCCAGATCACCCGAGGATCCATGGTGAGACCCTGTCTTTAAAATAAGCAAAAACCAAAAAGCAGGCCAGATGGTGATGGCTCATGCCGTTTATCCCAGTACTCAGGAGGCAGAGGCAGGTGGATCTCTGAGTTCGAGGCCAGCCTGGTCTACAGAGTGAGTTCCAGGACAGCCGAGGCCCTGTCTGGAAAAACCAAGCGAATTGGGAGAGGATCAGGCACAACACTCCACTCATTGTTTCAACTTATGAAACCAATTCTTCAACAGCTGTTCTAAAGACCTCACCTTTGAGCTCGGCAATCCCAGAGATGTAGTTTTTTGTTCCGACTAAGGAAACATCCCATCCTGTTCAGCAGTAAAGCTTTGGGAAGGGCCACCCAAGGCTTGCACAGCCTCGGCTCCAGTGTGCTAGGAAAGCATCAGGAAACTCTTTTGTTTCTGTCTGGCGGAGGACGAGGTTCTGGTTTACACCGGTTTTCTCCCCCCGCGCGCGCACACACAGACGCACACCACACACACGCACACGCACAGAGGTGGAAAACGTTAGCCAAGTCCCAGCCAGCGCCAGACGCTCCTGGCAGGGCCACAGGCCGGGCTCAGTCAGGCTTCCCCGAGGCAGCTTTGTGGGATGTTTCCCCACCTCCCCCGGGGCGGCCCTGGAGGCGGGCAGGCCTCTCCGCCAAGCCCGGGTGGAGGCGTCCCCGCAGGAGCCCGCCGCAGCCCGGCGCTTCGCCCCGAGGCCCCGCGGTCCCCGGCCCCCGCGCCCCGCCACGCCCAGGCCGCGGGCGTCCCCGCCGGCCCCGGCCCCCGCCGCTCACCGGACGCCGGGCCGCTCGCCCCTCGCCTCCCGGCTCCTCGCAGACATTTTGTCCCGACGGAAGGCGCCGCTGCCCCCTTAAAGACACAGAGCCCGATTCCCGCGTCTGGGGGCGCCCGGGGGGCGGTGACGCGTGGCCTGGACGCCGGGGAGGCCCGCTAGACCTTCCGGTCGGTGAGGGGTTAGAGCAGCGGGGTGAAGGAGAGTGTGGAGGGTGGAGGCCTGCGGGAGTGTCTAAGTGGCGCCACAGCGCAGGGATGCTGGAAACGTCCGCGTTCACCTTCCAAGTCAGCTGGTCCAGGGCCTAAGCGGGGCGCGCCGCCCGGCTCGTCTACGGCCTCTGAGGTGACGCAAGTCAGAAGTTTCTGCCATCAAGGTCTAGGGAGGAAAAGGTGTCCCCAAAACGCCACCATGGGCTACCACTCTTGTCCTGACGATGCTCTGTCAGCGGCGGCTGGTTTACACGGCTGTATTCCGCGCTCCAGCTGCGAAGACGAACCTTTTCAGGGTCTGCGGGCCGATGCAGAGAGCGCCTTGGGGCCTCGCAGCTTGAGGGCAATTCCTGTTGTGGGCCGTTCGCTGTTCCAGCCCCGTAAATATTACCACCGTGTAGATTCCAGTCTACAAACAGTCCTGAAGAAGGGACTTGCCGACTTCCTAGGTGTACCGGCTCCCTCTTATGCACAGCTGGCACATTTTCGGCCCTTTATTTTTTCATTAGAAAGTTGCACTAGTTCGCTGTGTTTGAATTTGGTGTGTTTGGGTGGCAGGGGTCGTGGGTCTGTGCCTGTGGGCCGCGGCGTCAGTGGCGTCCAGAAGAGGGCGTAGTGCAGAAGAGCCCGTACTGACTGAAGTTGGAGGTGTTCGCTAGCCACCTGAGGAGGGCTGGGAATGGAATTTGAATCCTCCGGGAGAGCAGCACCTGCTCTTACCCACTGAGGCATCTCTTCAGCCCACATACCGCTCTGCTCACAAAGTCACATGAAGAATGGGGCTGAAGCCTTGCTAGCTAGGCTACACCTGCAGCGGTCTTTTAAAAACTCTCCTTCATTTGGGTGTTTAGGCCTCTACCTCCCTTCCCTCCAAACCCCCAACTTTAAGTAGGAGAGAAAAAGGTTAGTGGGAGAGGGGGCCCAGCTAGTTAGGGTTCAGTGGGTTTTTTTAGGCTCTATACCAATCTCCATCAAATGAAGACGCAGCTAGCAAGCTCCTCCATGCTGCTGTGCCCCAAAGCATTTCTCCCCATCTGTCTGCTCCAAACCGTCTCTGGTCTCTCCAAACTGCTCCACACCACACACCAACACCGAATGCCACAGTCTCTTTCTTAGCTCTCATATTTATACTCTAAGAGTCCTAGACCATGCCCCTCCCTGTGCCACACATGGAAGGCCGTTACCAGCTGGCAAAGATCATGCTCCACACGTGACAATTAACAAGTGTGGGCAAACTATAGCTCAACTAAAATCCCACACTTGGGATCATGTTTGCATAATATACAAAGAAACCAGAACTTCCATCACAGACAATAAGCAAACATATAAAAAATAAAAGAAACAAGAAATTATTTTGTAAGTTATACAATTCATGCTAGCTGCTTTGGTTCAGCTGATTTAGGAATGGGGGTGCTAGGGATGAATGCTTGGTCTTGCTCACGGCACACGCTTTGCCATGGAGCTATTAACATCACCCTTTTCATTTTTTCTCCCTAGAGTTGGAAATTTTGTTTGTTGAATTTTCTCTTTTCTCTGCCAAGAATGATTTCAGAGGAAAGAAAAATCTGGTTGGATATCTAGAAAGAAATAATTTTGCCATGGAGAGATTAATTAGACTCCCTACTCCCTTTTAAATTTTATTTAAATTTTTTTCATACTACATATTTTGATTATATTTTTAACTCAACAAACCAATTTAAAAAAAGCACATAAAACATGGTGTATTAAGGTTCTCTAGAGTAACAGAACTTATAGAATGAATTTCTGTTTAATATATATAAAGAGAAAGAAAGGGGAATTATTAGAATGATTTACAGGCTGTGGTCCAGCTAATCCAACAATGGCTGCCTATGAACAGAAAGTTCAAGAATCCAGTAGATGTTCAGTCCATGAGGCTGAATGTCTCAGCTGCTCTTCAGTATATGCTGGAATCCTGAAGTAGGCTCTAATGCTAGGGAAGGGATGGACTTTCTAACAAGGCGCATAGAGGCAAAGACAGAAAGCTCCCTTCTTCTATGTCCTCATATAGGCTTCCAGCGGCAAGTGTGGCCCAGATCAGAGGTGGGTTTTTCTGCCTCAAAAGACTAAAGGTCTTACCTCAAAGATTCTGATTAGAAGTGGATCTTGCCACTCCAAATTAAGCAAAAACCCTTCATAGGTTGGCTCTCTATTTTGGGGTTTTAGTTAATTCCAGATGTTGATAACCAAGAATAGTCATCATACCTGGAGATGGTTTTGTGTTGGCCAAATACTCTGAGCATGAGGCCTGCCCTGGTATGTGGCTGATTTGCAGCATCTCTCTAATGGAGAAAACCATGTCCCTGCCCTCTCCCAGCAGGGATAAATTGCAAATATCTTTTTGTTAGGAGTGGTTCTTTGTGCCTGCTTCATCTTCGCTGCCCTGGAATTTTGCCTGGCTTGCTCTTTTGCAGGTCTTGTATGTGCTGCCACAATTTCTGGGAGTTACTATGTGTATCAGCCTTGGTATATCTGGAGGACAGTTTCCTTGGAGTCATTCACACCTTCGCCTCCTCTTGCACATAGATCCCTGAGCCTTGAGGGGAGGGGTATGATGAAGACATCCCATTTAGGGCAGAGTGCTCCAAAGTCTCTCATTCCTTGCACATTTGTCCACCTGTGGGTCTCTGTGTTAAGTAGCATCTACTGCAAGAAGAAGCTTCTCTGAGGAGAGTTGTTTGGACGTATAATTTCATATAGATGTATAAAGTATGTCATTAGGAGTTGTTTAATTGCCATGTTAATTTAGCAGAGTCATAGTAGTGGGTTTTGCCTTAGGTACCATGACCTTCATAGTCTCAGGTTCTCACCCTCATGAGATGGGCTCCATCTCATGGAGTGGACCTGCCTACCACTATTTAGAAAAAGCACACTTAGAGTTACAAGATGTCTGGTTAAAAGAAAAGAATCTAACACAAGTGAATTCTCTGAAAAACAACTCTTAATTTATGTTTCCTACATTAATGAACTTATTACAGTTGGTATCTTTCAGTAAGAGGCCTCATTCATTTACTTAGTTTCAGTGGTGGCTGGACCCATGGCTTCTGTGCTGCAATTACTCTGTCCTGGAGCCAAACCCCCATATTGTTTGAATGCCTTAGACATCCAGTTAAGGTTGGTGGCTGGGGCTGAGGCAGAAGGAATCCAAATTCTAGGTCAGCTGGACAATTTAGCTAGACTCAAATAAAATTGAAAAGGCGAAGGCTAGGGCTGCAGGCCAATGGTAGCTTGCACGGGGCTCAGTCATTACATTTGACCATGTAATGAGGTATATGATATTTTTTGTTAGTTTACAGAATAGTATTTTCTGTCTCTCTTTTTTAGATTTTAAAATTATATTATTAAACCCTTGTTGATCTAGAACCAATGATTGAGCCTTTGGTCTCCACCTCCAGAATACCAGGCTTACAGGTGTGTGCACCTTATCTGGTCTATCTTTTTTTAATGATGTTTCCAGACACAGTCTTGGCATATTGCCAGATCAGCCTGCCTGCTTTAGCAGCTGAGGTTGGAATTGTAAACCTGCATTATGACATTGGTCTAACAAGCAGAAACTGGGAAATGAATACAAGTCCAGAGTTTCATAAAAGCTGCCCCTACGATTATAGCTTAAAGGAGATGCAACTCCAGGAAGAGGGATGCTGATGCAATAGGAAAACAGGCCAGCCCTGGGGTGACGTGAGGACAGCCAAAGACACTTGAAAGTGATAGCATCTTAAGACCTGAAGGTGGCAAGATTTGGTCTTGAGGCATTATGGATTTATTATTCTAACAAAATGTATTTGGGATTACTTTTTTAGACCTGAGAAAAAGAATCTGTCCTTCCCGTGTTTGATGCCATATTTAACAGTTTCTATGAAAGTCAGACATCTCTTCTAGGTAGTTTTAAATTAATTTTCAAGTCAAATTATAAAGTTTGTATCAACATAACTAATACCTCTAATAAACTCTGTTTTCCTTTATGCTCTTTGCTCAAGTTCCTGCAGGGAAAATATTGTCCAATTCGTATCTGTCAGGTCACTAACGATGCTATTGACAACAGCCTGAGGTGATGGCCAGGCCCAACCTAGGCCTAAACTCAGCCTTCCTCAGAAACCCCTGGGAGGTAAGTTTCAGTTGGCCAGAAAAGCCAGTACTTCCCTTCTCTGCCCACAAAGGTCACCTACCTCAGAGAAAGTGCATCTCGTTTCTGCTTAAACTAACAGCTGCTCAATCTCCCACCTGCTGACTAGCATACAAAACCTGCTTGCTTTCCCAAAAAGCTGCACTCTGCTCTCTGAGGCAGTTTGACCCCCAATAAACTATTTTTCTATCCAAAGAGTGGTTTCATTTGGTGGTTTCACTGTACCTTGCTTATAGATATCTTGGTTGGAGTAATTCTTCTAGCTTTTATTGTTATACTAATAAATATCATCTAATCTTCATTTTAAAAATCCTTCATTTTGCCTGCTACTTTGAAACATTGTTAAGACAGAATATTTATATTCCAGATTCACGGCAGAAAAAGCTTGAAATCTGCTCTGTAATCTTTATTTAAAAAAAAAAAGCTTGAGAAAAGTATTTATGGAGATTACCTAAGACATAAAAACAATTGAATGGTGAAGAATATCTTTTTTAGACAGAGGAGGCTATCTGGGTCTTGCCATTTCTTTATGGACATGTTTTGCCTTTGTTTGATAATTTCACACTTTTCTATAATGATTTTTAGTAGTTTTCAATCTCCCATTTCCCTGTCTCATTCCCACCCCTCTGCTGCTGAAACCCTTGCTCCTTTTCCTTTCCTGCCTCTGAGCTTGATTAGAGGTGTGTGCGCGGATGCGGGTGGGGACTTTTACTGGAGCTAGGGTAGCTTGTCAGGAGCTGCGTGACTGAAGGCAGTCACACCCTCTACCCCAGCACCACTAACTTCTGTGAAATAAATAGTTAAGACTTAATGTTCCTAGAAGTTAATGCAGTGGCTGTTATCTTTAACCAGCTAGTTCCCCAATGATGACACAGAGAGAATATTATTTATTTATAGCCTAAGTGCACAAAAACTGCGAATTATCAATCTATTCTGACGCTCCATGGCTTATCTGTTTTCCTCCCAGCCAAAATCCTCATAACACTTGCATTTTTTCCTTATCTTCTCCAGCTCCTTTCTCTTGAAGCCTCCTGGACCTCTCCTCTTCATGGCTAAAAATTCC